TTTCTTGCTTCTGCCATGCGGGTCTCACCACGTTTTTTCGACAGCACAAGGAATAATAGAGCGAGTGAAAATCCCTTGAAAAGCGTATATCTCTGCGGATTATGTAGCAAAGGTATTTCATATGATCGATAGAAATGCAAGACAATACAACGTTTACGTGGATTCCAATAGATTACAAGCAAACGCTTCCTGAGAACTAAAGCAAAGAGTTGAAGATCAGCTATCAGATAACTGTGAATGAACTAGAAAACGAACAAGATGTAAAGTACAACAAATACAAGAGCAAATAGAGAAGAAATCAACGGATGAGTGGATTCTACATATGTCCTTCCTTTCTGGACAAGATCCGGTCTTCCCCCGGATTCTGGGGAATCGATCTGTTGGCGTGAGAGAAAAACCCCACGCTCGTGCATTTCGTTGGACATCCTTCCTTGTGCTTCTAGTACAGCATGAAAACTTACCAGGGAGGTCGTTCAGGACGTGGAGCGCTTTTTGAAAACGGTTTTTTGCATGATGTGGGGTCACGTGCATGGGGTAAAAACTGACGTTTGTTTTTTTCTGAACGCCTCTGGGAATACCAAAAAAGGAGTGAAAAAGAAATCCATGGAAAACCGGTGGTTTTTGAGCCTCTGTGAGCTCTAAATCACTTGCAACTTCGACCAGTTGCTGAGTGGAGGGTCCTTATAAAGGTACTATTGGAATCGAGAGAAAAATAGTCGGGGAATGGGGTCTTACTTGTGGCACGTGATCAAGAGTGAACGGCTCCTTGGAATGGTTTCTTCAACGATCGGAGCGAAGCTACAACGATCGGATGGCCTAGTGGATAGCGTGGAGGATTCTCAAGCGGACAGTGGGGGTGGGGTTGATGGTTCGACTCCCCTCGGCGTGCGAGTTTCTGCATTTTTCCTGTTTCGCTGTTCTCGATTCCATATATGTATGCTTGTTTATGAATTACCTCGGATATCTGCCATTTATAGGCACATTCTAAATAGTTATACCCCGTAGTCGGTGCTATTCAACAATTTCGATTTTCACATCATTAAGCAAGAGTTTTTCTGGAAGTTAAAGTTTTCAAGTTTTTTTTCTGGAAGTAGTTAAAAATAAGTGTCAGAATCGTGATCAGGACCATCGATTACCCCTATAGGCAAACTTTCGGCCAAAAAATTTTTTTACTTTCTTGAGTTGTGATAGACCATTTGGTCGGCAATGATGACCGGTGTCTCACACCCTTTGGAGCGGTGATGACGTAACGATGACGTGGCGAGCCGCCTGGCAGCCGTATCGCGGATTCGGTGTTTAATATAGACCTGGGTGGCCGCTGAATACGTGAGAAGCCATCCTGGACATTTGTCGACCCCTAGCGACTGCTCGCTCGAGAGGGATGTCGTCTTTACGAGAGAAAGGCTCATCGAATTTCCTCCACTTTTTCAAATATACTTTGTATAATGATGGCCGATTTGTTCTTTTTTCCAGGACGTTGATCGTTGTTGCTAGTTTTATGTTTCTGTACCACTGAATGGGTTTCGGTAACCTGGAAAAGTACGACTTCAAAGAGTGACTCTTGAGCATAACCAAGTACACGCTCAAGAAGTACAAAAAAATGTTTTTGGTCGGAAGTTTGCGTATAGGGGTAATCGATGGTCCTGATACACTTGTTTTTAAGGTCGACGCAATTTGGTGTCAGAATAGCCCTGAAAGTCCTTCAAATGAGTAACGCTGCGTTTATACTTTGCGGACGTACGCCAGCGTACACTAGCGTACGCTAGCGTTTCCAGCGTTCGGCAGCGGCAGTGGCAAGGGAAGGATGGATATCGATCTAGCGTCACCAGCGTACGCTAGCGTAACGCTAGAGTATTCTAGCGTACGCTAGCGTAACGCTAGAATACTCTAGCGTTACGCTGGCGTACGCTAGCGTAGCGAGGGCAAGGAAAGCATAGGTATCGGTCTAGCGGTTCAGGTATACATGTATCGACACATGGCCGACTCCGCCCATTCTCTAAAGGGTTTGGCAATCTAGGCTCCGCCCCCTTGACCACGCCCACTTGCTTTTCGCGGAATTTTGATATTTTTCAAAATTTTTGCATTTTGGACTGCTCCGTGAAGCCCCGCCCACTGTGAGAGGCTCCGCCCACCTCAAAGAAGCTCCGCCCACTTTTCAAAGAGGCAGTATAGAGTCTCGGCTGCATGCTAGGGTATTGCTGATCATTCGGAACAAACTTTGCCTGATTTTCTTGTTCCGAGTGACGAACGAGACCCTAGCATACTCTGCACTGCCGAGTTGCACCATTTTTGAAAAGTGGGCGGGGCTTCTTTGAGGTGGGCGGAGCCTCTCACAGTGGGCGGGGCTTCACATAGCAGTCCGAAAATGCAAAAATTTTGAGAAAAATATCGAAATTCCGAAAAAAGCAAGTGAGCGTGGTAAGGGGACGGAGCCTAGATTGCTAAACCCTTTAGAGAATGGAGGGAGTCGGCCATGTGCACACAGATTCTACCAAAACACTAAAGCGATACCTATGCTTTCCATGCCCTCGCTGCGCTAGCGTACGCCAACGTAACGCTAGACTTTTCTAGCGTTACGCTAGCGTACGCTAGTGACGCTCGATCGATATCCATCCTTCCCTTGCCACTGGTGCTGCCGAACGCTGGAAACGCAAGCGTACGCTGGCGTATGCTGCCGCAAAGTATAAACGCAGCCTAAGCATAACAAAGTCAGTGGGAGAAAGATTCATCTCCAAATTGGCGACAAATGGCATCCGTGAAATTAAGTACCATAGTCGTGATCAGGGCACTAAAATCGACTTTCAGATAAATTATTGCCTAATGACATGTGAAAATCGAAATTGTCTAATAGCACCGACGTATAACTATTCAGAATGTGCCTATAAATGGCAGATATCCGAGGTCATTCATAAACAAGCATATATGGAATCGAGAACAGCGAAACAGGAAAAATGCAGAAACTCGCACGCCGAGGAGAGTCGAACCATCAACCCCCCCCACTGTCCGCTTGAGAATCCTCCACGCTATCCACTAGGCCATCCGATCGTTGTAGCTGAACATCGCTCCGATCGTTGAAGAAACCATTCCAAGGAGCCGTTCACTCTTGATCACGTGCCACAAGTAAGACCCCATTCCCCGACTATTTTTCTCTTCGATTCCAATAGTACCTTTATAAGGACCCTCCACTCAGCAACTGGTCGAAGTTGCAAGTGATTTAGAGCTCACAGAGGCTCAAAAACCACCGGTTTCCATGGACTTCTTTTTCACTCCTTTTTTGGTATTCCCAGAGGCGTTCAGGAAAAATGAACGTCAGTTTGGTACCCATGCACGTGACCCCACATCATGCAAAAAACCGTTTTCAAAAAGCGCTCCACGTCCTGAACGACCTCCCTGGTTAGAGATTGTCCCTTTCGCGACTCCTCCCGAGTGAGAAGGTTGCTACAGCCGTCGAACGTTCTAGTTCTGACACCCGTTCACTTAGCACGCCCACCCAACGGACGTCCTCATCCCACCCATAGGGTAGGGACACCCTTGTTGTTTTGGGGCGGTTAGCATAAATCCGAATTGCGTGTCCATTTTTGCCGACCACACTCGTGCTACTTAGTACTTCTGCTCTGTTTTATCACATTTCCTTTACTAAGAGCACATACAGTCAACAGCAACCCTTTTCGCAAGCTGAACCATGTTCAGTTACCAGTGATGCAATTGGTTGGTGCAAAAACTCGACGTGCAATGCTCACCGTAATCCTAATTTCGTGCGCAAAGGTTTCGGAGTTCACTTTCTGTTACGAGTTTTGCTCCAATTGTTTTTTTTTGTTCTTTGTCTTCTTTTCTTTGCATTGGCTGGCATTTAGTACGGGAAGATGCGAAAAAGTGATTAGCGAGCCAGCGGCTGCACAGAGGCCACAGGGCGTCGAGCTATCACCAAGTCCGGAGACCACAATGGAGCTGTGTGTCTCAGGGAACGATTTCGTTTATGGTGTTCTTGGAGATTCTTTTCGCTTTTTTTTCTTTGGGGAATCACTCATCTGTTACTGATTCGTGAGTGAACACCCACCATTCATGATAATTGATCGCTAGAATTGCTTTAAATATTGTACATAGGTACAGCGGATGCTTTCCAGAAGTACCAATAAATCTGTTGGCAATGGACACTGTCATACGTCGATTACTTACCCAGAACTACTCAGAAGGTACTCAAGTGTTATCTGTCTCAAACAGTGTAAGATTCATTGTATAACAGGTATCCAACAGATGATCACAACGATTTTCCCCTCCCAACTGATGTCACAGTGTTTTGCCAGCCTGAAGGATGTTTAACATTGGGTTTGTAATGCTAGTAAAGACCGTTGTACCGATATGCTCTACACACATATTTCAGACATTCACTCAAGGTGCGGCCAAAGCCGTGATCCTCAATTTTTCGTTTTCATGTTAACAGAAAAGGACTCTGCAAAAAAACGATATGCTGTATGCCTCAATTTCTACCAACGCATGGAGAAGCGAACAGCAAATACATGTCGACATAGCGAAAAAACAATTCCCTCGGGGAAAATGCAAGTGTTTTCTTCGGGAACTAATTGTGGTACTTCTACAAAGTGTTTCTTTTTCCTGTTTTATTTTGTGATGTAATCTCGAGAGAAATTTGACACTGGAAACGATACCTGTTTTGTTGCTTGAATGATTCAACTTATTTCCAAATACAGTTAAGAAGGATTTTGTACACGTTTGTGGAATTATCAAGATTATGACTTCTGCCGTATCTCTGCATTGTGAGGGGTACCGCAGCGTGTGAACAAAGGTTGTGGGCTAGTTTATTGGAAGCTTTTTTACGATGGGCTTTTCTGTTGCGGAGACAGGGTATAGCATTGTTGTGTGAAAAACATGGGAGGGGGGGGTCGTACTTGGCCGCAGGGGAGGGAGGGGGGGGCGTGTTTGGCCGCTTTTGGGAAAGGGGGTCTATGTGTCTTGAGAGAAATTTGACGCGTTGGAAAGCATCTTTTCCCAGTTGTTGAGCGGTTTTTCCCATTTCACATTGGCTATATATCTCCCTCTCTACACCTCCACTCGACAGCAAAATTTTTAGGAAGAGTAGAAAATTTTTCGGGAAATTCCAGAACAAGCGGCAGAAAGCTGGGAACTTTGAGGAAAGTGGTAAGTAGGTGTTGAGGAAGAGGGGGGGGGGGGTAGGGTCGTACTGACACCACCATTACACACATCACAATGCTGTGCCCTGTGCGGAGACCTTCTTCGAATTCACTTCCTGCCATTCTTGCTTCTCACCGAATTCCTTTGGCGGGCGCGAGCAATTTGTATTCACCGCGAATGTAACGCGAAACAGTCCAGTCTCTTTCCTCACTAGAGGGAATGGAGGCGACTCGTTTTTTTCGCATGAAATTCGTGGTGAAGTTTGACCGTGCTTTTATCTAACGCTCTTCGCGAAATGCAGTCGGTCTCTTGTCCGGTTTTGGCGAACGCAAGTTTTACATTTCAAAGGTGGTAACTTCGTCCATTCATATCATAGCATGGGCCTGCACGGCATTGGGAAGCAGAAGTTTTTCTCTTCCCAAACGGCACAACATCTTTACTCTAGCTTAATTGAGCAAGAATTCGTCCGTCGCGGATTTCCATTCTAAAATCAGCTTCAGCGTGTATAAAGATCCCCTTTGAAAAGCCCACGTTTCCTTCTAGAAAGCTCGGTAGGCCTCCCGTACACTTCCTCCTCGCATAGTGAATGGGAGCTGCAGCACAGAAGCCCTGATCAACACCTCCATGGAGTGCTCCATGTACCCGACCTAACTTCCGAATCATCCTGCAAACTACGCCCCTGCTGTGCAGATCTCTGCAAATACGACCTTCCCCTCCCAAAAGAACAAAATTCGATTCCTCATCGCGGAGTTGGTTGCATTCGGGACATATTCACTATAGACTTTGCAGGTTGTAGAAGCGCACAAAAATCTCTTGCCCTCCGTTCCCCACCACCCCATAAAGCGACTCGAAAAATGCATCAATTAAAGAAATGGGAGGAGGTGAGCAGTGGAAGACAAATAAGATGAGAGCTATGCCAGTGGTCTTTCAGGTCGTGGCGCGCTTTACAAAAATGGTTTGTTGCTTGTTGTAGGGGTCCTATACAAGGATTACAAAAATGGGTTTCATTTTTGCTATGCGTTTCTGGGGAGGTCAAAAACTGAGTGAAAACAATTTGACAAGAAAGGGCGATTTTAACCGTCTTATTGGGCTCTGTTGTAGCTGTAACTTTGAGAGTGCTTTACGCTCCTTCACTGCACGGTGTTGGCCGCTCCCTCCCCCTACGCTAGTCGAAAAGAGAGCAAAATAAAGTCAAAAGAAAGTGCATGGAGAAAAGTAGTACCGAAGTTACTTCAACGACTCCCGCAACCAGTGTTCCGTGGTCGGCGGATGGCGGAGTGGATAGTGCGGTCGGCTCTTACGGAGAAGGTTTGCGGATCGGATCCTCTTGGCGCCGGATTTTTTGCATTTTTCGGATACTTTATGCGTTTTTCGGATTTCTGTCTCCTTGTGTTCCTGCGTGCGTGGTGATGTATATAACATGGATATATGCCATTTAAGAGCTCATTCTGTACACTCAAACTTCACGAGTCGACCCTACTTAACTATTGCGCTCTCGAAACATTACTGAGGAAACTCTTGCTGAAAGTTGGGCTCCGGGGATGACTGGATACCCTACTCACGAGTACGACACTCATTTTTGACCACGGCGCAGCCTATCGCCGATTTGCTGCAAGAGCATTCTTGCACTGAATTGTTGTCAACCGCACGCATGGGCTGTTAAGCGCTCAGCTCGAGGAGAAAATTTTCGCTGAAAGTCTGTATATAGAGGTTATTGACGGCCCTGATCACGGTTCTGACCTTTATAACTGGCGCCTAGGTCATTTGGCGCCAACATGGCTCTGAATACCCCCCCCCTAACTGCGGGTTGGGATGCTGCGAGAATCACTTGAGAAACTACAATGCTGCCTCACTGTGTGCCAAATAAAGTACTTTTTCACCTTGAAATAAAGTACTTTTTTCACCTTGACTTGTATTGTTTTCGATGCAGTGTCGACGAAGGTCTCATTTGCTGTGCATACTCAACATTAGAGATAGAAAAAAGCCTAGAAAAATGGTTCAAAATCGCTTTTCCCCAGCAAACTTTTCACCCATTTTTTGACCTCCCCAGAAGCGCATAGCAAAAACGAAACCCATTTTTGTGATCCTTATATGGACCCCTACAACATGCAACAAACCATTTCTGAAAAGCGCGCCATGACCTGAAAGACCTCCCTTGTAAGCTTGTGCCAGGTGGATGAGGCTGAAAAAAGTTCGGTAATCCAGGACATCCCAGGGAGCGGAAGAAAATGAATAGAGGCATGTAGACTCGTAATGAGACGGTGCGCAGTGGTGAACGAGCCATAACAAAGAAAAATCGTTGTACTATTCCACTGCAAAAAAGGACAGCAAACAGGCACGGCGAAGAAAGTCCACCCGAAGTTCGAATTATAGGGCAGTCACAGGTTTTCGATAACCATTTATTCGAACCCGAAGGCAGTGATAGCCGAGTAGTTAAGAGTGTATGCTCATATTTGCACTCTGGAAAAGAGCCGAAAAGAGCTTGGCTACGAGCAAAGACCATGCCTTGCAAAAGTTGCAAAATGGGGACGATACCAGCGTCAGGCCCAGGTTGACAGGCCGGCTGATGGAGAACCCGTCACAACAACCATGAAAAGTCGCAAAAGAATCAGTGTTAATGCTAGGACGTCACCTGAAGTGGCGCGCAGAACCCTCGCCCGAGTTCTGTGGTCAGTATGCGAGGGCTACCGAGGGGTGAACGACCTCGGCCAAAGAAGCTAGTTCGAATTGGGACTCTGAACGTGGGGATCGCTGACCTGAAAATCTCGAAAGGTCGCTGATCTGATGAAACGAAGGAACATCCAAGTCCTATGCCTTCAGGAAACGCGCTGGAAAGGAGCCAAGGCCCGCGAGATTGGAGAAGGGGTCACACTGTTCTGCAAAGGTGGAGATGCCAAGCGGAACAGAGTGACCATAGTGGTAGCGGAGCATCTCAAAGACTGCGTCTGCTCTGTAAATAGAGTCGGTGACGAATCATGGCAGTGAGAATGAACACGAAAGAGGGCTACTGGACAAGTGACCCAAGCCGCTTGCCGGAGCTCGAGAAAGATGACTGTTACATGACCCTGGACGAGACCATCAGGTCGGTCCCAGAGGGTGACTATCTCACCTACAGCTGGTGATCTAAGTGGCCACGTAGGTAGTGATGGAAAGGTCCTAGAAAGGGCGCGCGGAGGCAGAGGGATAGGAGCGGGAACACCGAGGAAGGGCCTTGGACCTGGTCCAGCCTACGACTAGCGGTATGTAGCAAGTTCTTCGCAGAAAGGCGAAAGCAGAAGTTAACCTACAGTAGTAGGAGGAAGACAAACGGAAATCGACCATGTGCTCGTTAATAGGTCATCCCTCACATTTGTTAAGGACGTCAAGGTGCTGCCCAGCGAAGAACTGAGCCCTCAGCACAGGCCCCTCCTGGCAGATAGTACCGTGGACCTTCCCAAGAAAGTAAGGGTAAGAACAGAGGGGAAAATTTGGTGGTGGAAGTTACGCCAAGTGGAAAAAAAATCTCAGAAGGAGGGAACTGGAGACTAGGAGTCAACACAAGGCTGAGTGACCTTGTCCCGATCTCGCAAGAGCACTTCGGCCTTATACCCAAAAGATCCACTGCGGATGCCATGTTCGCCGCCAGATAGGTAATAGAGAAGTATTGAGAGAAGCGTTGACCTTGCTAACTAACTTCCTGGATCTCTAGAACGGCTTTCGATCGCTTACCGCGACCTGTACTTTGGGGCTCTCAGAGAACGGAATGAATTCCCGAGCACCTCATCTCCCTGGTGAAAGGCACTTGCAATGGGGCCAAGGCGGCTATACGCAGCCCGCACGGCCTCACGAAGGAGGTAGTCATTAAGGGTGGGGTAAACCAAGGGTCAACTCTTACAAGGGAGGTCGTTCAGGGCGTGGTGCGCTTTTCGAAAACGGTTCTGCATATTGTAGGGGCTCATGCAAGGACCTGAAAAGTGTGCTTCATTTTCGCTGCGCGCTTCCAGGAAAGGTAAAAAACGAGTGAAAAGAAATCTTTGGAATCTGCTTCGTTCTGGGCCTCTATGCGGCGTAGGTCACTTGCAACTTTGACCAGTTGCTGAGTGGGGGGTCCTTATAAAGGGGCTATTTGAATCGAAGCGAAAAATCGCCGCAAGTGAGCTTCCAACTTGGGTCACGTGCTCAAGGGTGAACGGCTTCTTGCAGTGGTTCATCAAGGATTAGAGCGGTTCGGATGGCCTAGCGGATAGAGTGGAGGTTTCGCAATCGGACAGTGAGGGTGGGGTTGATGGTTCGGCTCCCCTTGCGTCGCGGCTTTTTGCATTTTTTAGATTTCGCTGTTCTCGCTTCCATTAGTGTCTGCGCATGAATATAACTCGGATATTTGCCATTTATGGGCACATTCTGAGTAGCTATACCTCATGAGTCAGTGCTATTCAACTATTTCGATTTTCACGCACCAGTGAACAAGATTGTTGCTGAACGTTGGTGTAGATTTTCACGCACCA